AGCGTAGATTAGAAAGGAAATCAAAATTTTCAAGGTTACAACTTAGGAAAACGAGGTTGTCACCTTGTACCAAATCAATTAAGAAGGAAACAAGAACGAGGCTCGAGGATATAGGAAGGATTTCTCGGAGAAAGACATTGGTTTGACAAGGGAAGGGGAGGAAAACGGCTTAAAGAGGGTTAAGGATTCTCGACTTCAGGCATCTTCTTCGGCTTGACGCTTCGATCGATGCTCTTTCGATGAACTGAAGGTACATTACTCTGATTCTGACGCGTTCTAACGCTAAGATCTATACCGGATCTTCCTTGTAAGCTGAGATCACAAAGATCTTCACCCCAAACCCATCTTCAAACACTGGTTTCTTCTTCAACTTTGTTACAACTAAGCAAAACTCACACGGACCAGACAACTGTGTGTTGACTTGCTCCCCTTATCAGTCTTCATCATTGTGTCGGTGACGAAACTCTTAGCGAACTTCCTCAATCCTCTTAGAGGTTCGGCTAGTTGTCCATTCTAGCTAACTCAAGATCGGTTGAAGCACTGACCACTGCTTTCCTCTTTCTTTAAGCGCACCTGGTTATCTGATCTTGCCATCTCAAGACTTCGGTGATTTACAAACTAAACTTCCTTTCTTAATGTACCTGGAGATAATCAAGGTCTAAGCATCTGCGTATTCTTTATACCTTCCTTTGCATCGTGACCGTTGGCACTCAAAATCTCACACAAACTTCTAATGAGTCCTTTGAATGCATGATGATAACCACCACTGTAAGGGAAACTTGATCCATCACTAGAGCACAATCCACGGCCTTCGTAAATCCATTGCGCAAGTTCCCAACTTGCCTTCTTGATCTGTATGATTCTTTCCCATTACCATCTGAAGCTGGTTGGATCGTAGAGCTCAACTGCAACCTTAAGCCACACGCAAACGGTAGAACTTTTCGTAAACTGAAGTCTTTACCAAAGTCAACCTCTGGAGACGTAACATGGTTCCTTGTCCAAAGATTTGCTCATATCCTTACAAGAAGCTCGATAGGTTGAGTCTTGTTCACCATTGATAACCTCGCAATCTTCATAAGGTAGTCGGTTACAACCACTTGGCATTTTCTTGTCTTGATTAACGGTAGGTCATCCCTGAAAACTTTGTTGCCGCATGAACTTGTCCTACTTATGAAGGTCCAACAGTAAAACTGGTCCTTAAGTTGATCTCTGACTGTCCTTCCTTTTACTGTTCAAACTTCCCATACAAGATTAGATACATCTCGATCCTTCCTGGTTTTAGGTAGATCTCTTACCAAGAATCTTCGGCGCAGCGTCTCACTTGCAACTTAAGAACACTCGGTGATAAGATCCGTCTTTGCTTCGCTCTTGTCAATTTGGATCTTCTAGCAGCGCCAACGTTTGATTGCAACTCGGTTACGTGTTCTTTTCTTCTTGTTGCCAAACCTCCTTACCAAAGTCTTCATGTTAACCATCACTTTCCAGGCGTGCCGACTAGGATAAACGATATCCTCATTCACCAACTACTACCCAACCTCTTTATGTATCACAGGGTCGGACGACTTGCCAACAGCGATGCTCTTCTCTTCCATGTACCTTAGGGGTCCAAGCTCTTCATGTATGGCCATCTTGACCTTTATTGCTTCCAAGTTCGTGGCTTCGAACTTTCCCGATCTTGGTTTCTCCGAAGGTAGGTAGTGTAACACCCCCCAAAAACACGACTTAAAAACAAGTCTTAACACATGCAGATTAACAACAAAACACTAGCACAGCGGAAGATGAAAAGATAACTGGATAACAGAAATCCAAAACGGGGTGTTATGCCACGTATACCACACTTGGTATACGCTAAGGCGACAATCTACAGTGTATCACTATCCCAAAAACAACAAACTAGAACAATCTAAAGACATTGGCACACAGGCCTCAACAACACTGTCTAAAGATACAGGTGCTAAGCTACCGGCTCTAGACATCGCGCTCGACTACGCATCACCTGAAAGATACAAAGATAAACATCGGGGCGACGCCCGGTCAGCGAAAGATGCTGGTAACCCACCAATACCGTTAAGTATCATAAATAGGTAGATATATAATATGAAAACCATTTTCGAAACGAAATACATATATATAAGTCAAAAGCCAAGATCAAAAGACAACACAAGACTCACCACTCACAAGGATAAAACCGGGAAACGCATCCCAACCACAAAGGTTAACCACACACAAGAACAAAGACTCACACAACGGCAACACATGCCAAAACACCACAAGCCTCCGTGACTACACGCGTCACGAGAGAAGAGAACTCACCACAACACCGGCTTCACAAGCCCTCGTGACATCACACATCACGAGTTGATATGCCTTCCTTATGCCCTGTTCCAACCTTATGGCTACCCCCAACCTCGTACCTTCGGTGCCAACCATTACCTCCGGAAAACCCCTGTACAGCCAAGTCCAACCTTATTCCGCCGGGACCGTTGTCCCCCACCTATAACCACCAACGAAAACCCACCAATTCACGGCAACACATGCCCGGATAACACAATGTTATCCCCCAATCACGTGGACTCAGCCACAACTCCATAAAATCACGTCATGGCCACCACGAGGACCGCTGCAATACCTTGGTGACTAGTTTCCCATACCACTAATCGTGCAATCCAGGTAGAGCCACACACGCACCACCACTCACACGAAACGAACAACGGATTGCAAGAGAAGGTATGAAACACACTCAATCAAGAGACGGGTCACCACCCAACAACAACAACGACGCTAGCATTAAGATAATAACTAGCAAGCTCAACAACGGGGAAACTCAAGATAGTTCCGAGGAACACACAAGACACCACACGGTTCAATGAAACACAATGTTGAACACTTAGCACGATACACAACACCAAAGATCCTACATGGATACCTACCAAAAAGCTCTAGACCTACGAAACATCAAGAAGACGCTCAAATAGTTCCACAAAAGAACAACGGGAGGCCAAAAGATCAAAGACCGAGACAAACAAATCACGGGGAACAAATCCCACCACAACTCCACCGTGTTCCCCGCGGGTGGACCCACGGGTAGCGCCCCACCCGTGGTCACGCCCGCGGGTACACAACCCGCAGGGCACACGTTCCCCTCGGGTAGGCCGGCGGGTGGTGCCCCGCCCGCCGTTCCGCCCGCGGGTACGCCCCTGTACCACAACAAATCCCTTCGGGGATTTTCTCCTCCAAACACTACTTCAAGTCCAAAACACACCAAATCTCACCAAACACAACAAAAAGACTTGAACCATGGAAAATGCCAAGCAATGGCACAAAGGAATCCTAAACACAAGGTCTAGATATGCAATATCACAAGATAAATGCATAAACTCTCACATTTCATATCAAAGAACAAGTAGAAGCCAAGAAATCATATATAGGTAAGAAAAATAGGTTTTGTAGAGCATGGGTTACCTCTTGAAGACCAAAAGACTCTTCTTACACCACAACAAGCTCTCCACTAAGCTCACTAGCCAAACCCACTTCAAGATCAAACCAAAAGATCATAAAGATCCAACCTTTAAGAAAAAGACAACTAAGATGGAACCAAAAAGACTAGACAAGCTTAGATCTTACCCTTCTAGATGCCAAAATAGAGGAAAGATTGAATCTTGGAAACAAAACTTGGAATCTTGACAAAGGCTTCTTTTGGCTTGAAGAACAAGCTACTCTTGTTTTCTAGAGAGAAGGTAGAGATATTTTCTAGGAAATGTAAGGGAATGAAATGAAGAAGTCTTCTAGGTTTAGGTTACAAAACTAGCTCTTGGTGAAAAGACAAGGATACCCTTACTAACTCTTAAAAAGTGTAAGGAACAAGGGAACTCCTCTCAAAGCACAAGGTACAACACAACTTAAAGATTGACTAGTCAAATACTAGTCCTTGAGTATCAAAAATCAGGATTTTAGGAATCAATTCCTCAAAAGAAATAGAATTAATTACTCAATTAATTCATGGTTTGGAGTATGGATTTTTGGGGTGTCACAGGTAGGACTACTTCTATGTTGAACACTTCGATTTTACACTTCAACTCTTTGTGCTTTAGAACGGTTCCAGGTTGACTCATAGCTCTTTATCTCTGGGAGGCTTCTATAACGTTGACCCACGAACGACCCCTTGGCGTGAGTTGACATCTTCTTAGAGCGTCCGGGACCGCTCTTGACTCCCCCTCGCGAGTGAGGGTCTTCAAGACTTGATCTTCAAACTCTAAACGACGTCTTGCTTCTTATCGGACTACGGTAGCACGAAACGGTGTCTTCAACTCTAGGATTAGCGTAAAACGGATGTCGATGTCGTACGAGAGACGATGTCACTTGCTTGAATGAGATTTGATGTAGTTGACTCCAGGTTGCGAGTAGAGCAGTCCATCTTCTTTGCGTTGACCACGTGCTCAGCTGCAACCATCACGCCTTGACTAGCTTGTGTCAGCAGATCTTCAGTCTTCTTACTCTTTAGCCGCAGTCCTCGTTAAGACTTCAACGAACCCAGAACACGATGACGTACCGAGAAGGTTCACACCAACCGAGAACAACAACTACAACTACTAACGCTAACAACAAAACAAGATAAGAGAACTACACAGATAACAAAAAGGTAACTCACAACCTCACCGCGCGTCCTAAGAGTCCTATACTTAGGTACTTAAACACTTAGAGACTTCACTAAACATCTTAAAGTCTCACTTACCAACGCTAACCTAAGCTCAACTTAGGTCTTTATAGTCCAACTCTTAACATCCTAGGCTCAAACCTAGGCTCTGATACCAACTGTAACACCCCCAATTTTCAACAACTTTTAAAACCAATTAAAGCTTAGAAAAGGAATAAAGTCTATTCAATAAGATTAAAAAAGGTGGAAGCTAACTAAAAAAACCGGAAGGTGCTATGCCACACCTATATCAAACATAGGTGCACAGCCAGATACTACAACTACAATAGTCTAACAAATCAACTATTTGGGCTCACAGGCCTCAACAACTATTAAAGGAAGAGATAATCTATCTACAGACCACTAGCGCGCTCTCCAAAGCTACCCAACCTGTAAAGCAACAATAAGAAATGGGACGACTCCCGGTCAGCGAATAATGCTAGTAACCCACCAATACCTGTTAAGTATCATACATAGTTAGGATATATATATATATATATATATATATATATATATATATATATATATATATAGAAAATCATTTGCGAAACGGGATATAGTATATATAAGTTCAAAGCCAAAAGCAGAAGTCAACACAAGACTCTAAGCACTCACAACAAGACAAGGGAACACATCCCAAGACCACAAGGAACAACAACGACTCACAAGAACGGCTCAAGGAATAATCTACCATCACACAGTAGATTAACACCCGACATGCATAACACAAGAGAATAAGGACACAACCAATGGCAACACATGCCTTTGTGACTACACACGTCACAAATAGAGAAATACACAACAACGGCTACACAAGCCTTCGTGACATCACCCATCACGAATTGAGATACCTTCCTTATGCCCGGTCCCAACCTTATAGCTACCCCCAACCTTATGTCTAGTTCCAACCATTACCTCCAGGACCCTTGTACAACCAAGTCCAACCTTTTCCCTCCTGGGACCGTCGTCCCCCACCAACGACCACCAACGAGACCACCGATTCATAGTACACGAGGGTACCGATCACACACACGGCAACACATGCCACCCAAGTAATACGTGAACCTTACACAAAGGTCACAAACTCCATAATCGCGTCATAGCCACCACGAGGACCACTGCCGTACCTTGGTGACTAATGTCCCATACCATTAATCGTGCAATCCAGGTAGAGCCACACACACCACACCACAACCAGAATCAATCAACAGATCACAATGAAGATATGAAACCATACTAAATCAAGGAATGGATCACAGTCCAACAACAATGATGAATAACACAAGTCATCATCAACAATAGGAAGGTACAAACAACACACACGCTAGCATTAAAACACCGAACTAGCATGCTTATCAAACGGGTAAACCAAACGTAATTCCGAAGAACACACAAGACTCATCACGGTTCAACGAATCACAATGTTGAACACTTAGCACGATTCAAGACACCAAAACCTACATGGAATCCTACCATATAGTTCTAGACATAGGAAACATCAAGAAGACGCTCAAATAGTTCCACAAAAGAACATCGGGAAGTCAAAAGACCAAATACCGAGTCAAAAGAATCAGGGGGAACAAATCCCGCAACAACCACATATTGTTCCCCCCGGGTGGGCCCACGGGTAGACCCCCACCCGTGGTTCCGCCTGCGGGTACCAACACCCAGCCTCCTTGTACCCCGCGGGTGGGGCGGCGGGTAGGCCACTACCCGCCGTTCCGCCCGCGGGTACATACCTGTACACCAAATAATCCCTACGGGGATTTTCAACACCAAGCTCAAATTCAAGTCCAAAACATGCCAAATCTCACCAAATACGACAAATTGACTTGAATCAAAGAAATAGCCAAGCAATGGCATACAAGAACCCTAAACACAAGCTCTAGATATGCATTTTCACAAGACAATGCATAAACACTCACATTTCATAGCAAAATCACATGTAGAATCCAAGAATCATCAAATAGGTAAGCAAAATAGATTTTGTAGAGCATGGGTTACCTCAATCGCTTATCCAACCAAAAACAACGCCAGCATAGACTAGGCTCAACTCATAAGCCAAACGGGAACCTGAGAATTAAACCGGATCTCAAGTATTAACACAAGTACTAAACAAAACTTTTTAAATGCTACTAAGAGGATTTAAACTCTAGTTTATCCCTAAATTACCCACAAGCTTAACCATCTAGACTAAACATTCTATTATTAACTTAATCCCAACATTAAAACACTAATAATTAACTAATAACCAAGCTTAAGGTAAAACTATTAATTAAAACCAACAATTAGAACTTAAACTTAGAGAAGAATCGAACCCTAGCCAAATTACAACATTAAACACTCCTTTACCACCACACTAAGCGACAACTTATAAACTTTAATCAACCATAAACTAACTAAGCTAAAAACAACCACAACACAACCAGAACAAAAGCTCACCATCACCTTCTTCGATCTTCTTCATGCAAAGCCAGGACACAGCGGGTGGAACCACAGTAACACCCTCCACCCACCGGCACCACGAACTGCCACGAGCTCACCGTTCTTTGTGGTGCGGATGCTTTTTTAGCACGTACCCCTCTCTTTATTTTTTGGTAGGATTTTTTTCTTTTTGATTGATTGACAATATATGCCAATCTTAATCTCCTTCTTGCCTTGATATTGATTGGAAATGAGAACCAGGAAGAAGCTAAGTGCTCAAGATCAATTTGTGGTTTGTTATTCTTTATCGATCTTGTGTGGGTTATTATGCGTGCTAAGATGATATGATATTTATAAGGCGACATATATGTGGAAAATTGAATAAATTATCGGTTGTATTTTTTTTTACAGTAATATTACACCCTGTCATGAATATTTTTTCCTAATAATATACATTATATGACTTATTATGGTTATTTTATTGGATTTTTACTATTTAATCATTAAGCTAAGAGAATTCTATATTAAGAGTGATGCAAAATGTTCTCATTTTAAATTTACTTCATAATATTATCATCTTGACGTGCAATTACTTATTTTAGTTTCATTTTTTATCACATGTGGTAGCTAGGTCAATTCTTGACACACACACACACACAAAACTTAACCTAAATTTGATTTTTTTTTAAATGCATAAAAATCAAATCATTTTTAAAGTTCTTGATTTATAATCTTTGATTCTTAACTTTGAATGTTATGTATATAGGTTAAGTATTTTTGTGTGTGTGTCACGAATTGACCGAGCTACCACATGTGATAAAAAATGAAACTAAAATAAGTAATTGCACGTCAAGATGATAATATGAAGAAGTAAATTTAAAATGAGAACATTTTGCATCACTCTTAATATAGAACTCTCTTAGCTTAATGATTAAATAGTAAAAATCCAATAAAATAACCATAATAAGTCATATAATGTATACTAGGAAAAATTATTCGTGACACGGTGTAATATTTGATAGACAATTTTAAATAGTCCTCGCAAGTGCACGAATCAATATAGTAATAGTGTGCAAAGGCAAGGGTTGATCCCACAGAGAATTGATACAATGCAATTTAATAGCTTGAAATTAAATTAACTGACTTAACAATTTAATAATGATAAAAAAACGAAGATAAAAGATAAGAATCAACTCAAGTGCAAGATAATTAAATTGAGATTCCTGAAGCAAAATAAATGAATCGTTAGGAACCAAAGAAATCAAATAACAATCAAGATGACAAAGCCTAGGAGCATGAATTAATAACCATTTACGATCAAAGTATAAAACATAATTCAATTGGCAAAATTAAGCTTAAATGATTACAAAACATTCGTAACAATATCATTCCTTATTTGGAGATAAAGGATAGTAGAGGGGTATGTTTGTCTTTCTCCTACCCCGGTAGTTATAACCGTCACCATTATAAGAATGGTCGGTTCTCCTCTTGAATAAGTTTTTTGTATCTTTCTTTTCATTGAAAACAGAATGACACACTCCTTTTCTCTTCAACCATTTCGCAGACTTTACTTCATTGACTTGGTATCTGAGCACTTTCTTCCGAGCTCATATGCCGCCGCCGTCACTGGTGGAGCAGGTCAGGAAGAGGATACCACTCTACCGCCAACTCAATCACCGATCCACACGACTTCGTCAACGATTCCGCAGTGGAATCCTATTCCACAAGTACAGAGGAGCTATGGTGTTGAGGATGTGGAGAATCGGTACCTATTCAGCACAAGTGATAGCACGAACCTCATCCTCGTTAGTCCGCCATTGGTTGGCAGCTCCAACTACAGCTCATGGTGTATTTCCATGAGAATCGCCTTAGAGGTGAAAAATAAGTGGTATATCATTGATAGTAGCATTGCAGCGCCTAACAGAGAAGATAATCGATACGGACCTTGGAGACGATGTAATCTAATGCTGTGTTCGTGGATCTTCCGATCTGTGCATCCTTCCATTGCACAGAGTGTTATGCATCTAGAAAGTGCCAGGGATTTTTGGAACGACATGAAGTGACATTTCGCGCAGTGTTATGCTCAACGTATATCAACATTACAAAACTATATCTACAGCTTGAAGTAGGGATATCAGTCCATTAGCGATTACTATACGAAGTGCCGGACCATGTGGGAGGAGATGAACACATTGAGGCCACTCCCGCTATGCAAATGTGATCCAAGGTTTAGATGCGATCTAATCAACGAGATCAGGAAGAAGCGCGAAGTTGATTAGGTGATTCGCTTCCTTCAAGGTTTAAATGATGATTACAATGCTTTGAAATCTAATGTTCTTGTTTTGGATCCGTTACTGGAAGTCTACAAAATATATGTTATGGCTGAGAAATTAGAGAGGCAGATCAGCTTCACGAAGTTAAACATAAACAACCTTGAGATCAGCCATGCTAATTCGATCCAAGCTACTGAGATAGTTCAGAATTCCACAGATGATTTGGTTGCTGCGATTAACACTTACAATGGTAAGAAGTACACAAACAATGGAGGAAGCAAACCTAAATGCACATTTTGCGGGATGATTGGACACACTATTGACAAGTGTTACAAAAAGAACGGCTACCCCCCGGGGTGGGTGCCGAGCTTCAAATCCAAAGCCAAGCAGCATGGAACAACCAATGTGGTGAATGATGTGACAGTCCTAGGTGTCACAAGTTATCAATTTCAAAAACTTATGGCAGCCATTCAGAATCAGATGAGACAACATTCTAGTTTTCTGGTACTGCAGCATCTATTTCTCTAATTCCCAAGTTCAATGAAGACAACAGAGAAGGCAAGTCATCTATCCTTTATGTTAATTCTCTATCTCTGTGTAACTCAACATGGATTGTAGATTCTGGAGCCACTGATCACATTGCATGTTCCCTTGAGACATTTGATGATTATTATGTTGTTGAAAGGGATGAAGTTAGCCTGCCTACTAGGGAACGAGTTGCTCTCAAACACAAAGGAAACATATGACTTGAAAACAATCTTTGGCTAAAAGATGTTATGCACATACCATCATTCCAATTTAATATATTGTCGGTGAGCAAACTTCTCCAAAATACTTCATATAATCTGGTTTTTTCGTCAGGACAGTGCTTGATTCAGGAACCTCTTGGGATGACGGTTGGTTTAGCTAAACGGGAAAATGGGTTGTATCTCATGATGAAGCCACCACTGAATTCCATTCTTGATCACAGGAAATTGGTTATGCAATGTAATAAAGTTGATAATTGGCATCAACGTTTAGGACATTTTCCTATAAATAAATTGCATTTGCTTAAAGATATATCGAATGACAACGATTCGAACATTTCTGGCAGTAGCAGAATCTCAGAAATGGAATATCCATCAAATGGACATAAACAATGCGTTTCTCCACGGTGATCTTGATGAAGAAGTTTACATGGTGCTTCCCCCTGGTTTTCAAGCAGAAAAGCTTAATCAGGTTTGCAAATTAACAAGGTCTCTTTGTGGACTAAAGCAGGCAAGTCGGCAGCGGAACTCAAAATTAACTACTGCTCTACTAAGCTATGATTTTAAACAATCGAGTGCTGATCCCTCTCTCTTTACAAGAGGCAATGGTAATCAATTCATTGCCCTCTTGGTCAATGTTGATGACATATTGGTGGCAAGTGGAATGATGGCTTTTATACAAGAATTGAAGAACTCACCGAATGCAGCTTTTAAAATTAAGGACTTGGGGTCCCTAGGCTATTTTCTAGGCATGGAAGCAAAGATCAGTGAAAATGGTTTGAATATTTGCCAAAGGAAATATGCACTGGATATACTCAATGATACAGGGTTTCTTGACTGCAAACCAATAAACACTCCTATGATGCCAGGCTCTCTCTTATCCAATAATGATGGTACACCTCTGAGTGATCCAAGCAGCTACCAGAGGTTGATAGGAAGATTGTTGTACCTTACAGCCACTAGGCTCGACATTACGTATGATGTACATCATCTATGCCATTTCGTGAGTGCCCCCACGGACAGACACATGGCTGCGTCTCACCGCATACTGTGCTATACAAAATCATCTCCAGGACATGGCCTATTCTACCCAACATCGAATAGTACCCTCAGCCTCAAAGGGTTTTTTGATTCTGATTAGGCATCATGTACTGAAACACGCAAGTGTATAATGGGATTCTGCATTTTTCTTGGCACCTCTCTTGTTTCATGGCGATCAAAAAAACAAGCAACCGTATCCAAGTCTTCATCCGAGGCAGAATACCGCGCCCTTGCTACGACAGCGTGTGAAATGCAATGGCTAACCAGTGTACTCCAGGATTTGTGTATAAACATAAGCAGCCCTGCAGTGGTTTACAGTGATAGTAAATCAGCTATAGCAAGAGCAGATAATTTCATCTTTCACGAGAGGACCAAACACATCGTGATCGATTGTCATATAATAAGGGAAAGGGTGGCTCAGGGACTGGACTAATCAAGTTGCTCTCGGTTGCTTCCATCAACCAAGTTGCTGATGGTTTTACAAAACCTCTAGCCTCTTCTCTGTTCAACGTTTTTGTGTCTAAGAATGGGTGTCCAAAGTTTGCACACTCCAGCTTATGGGGGGGGGGGGGGTATTGGGAGATGAAGGATACTAGAGGAGTATTTTTGTCTTTCTCCTACCCCGGTAGTTATAATCGTCACAATTATAAGAATGGTCGGTTCTCCTCTTGAATAAGTTTTTTTGTATCTTTCTTTTCATTCAAAACGGAATGGCAGACTCCTTCTCTCTTCAACCATTTCGCTGACTTTACTTCATCGACATTCCAAGAAGACAAATTTAGCAAAGCATACTTGTGACACCCCGTATTTTTATAAAATAAATTATAGTCCCGATAGTAAATATTTTTCATAAAAATATTTATATAGCTAATTAATTTAAAATGGGCTCGGGTCTACCTATTATTGTGAACCGGTACATTTGTGTCCAAATGCCTTAAAGTCCAAATATAATTTTATTACCTAAGCCTACTTATAAGCTCAAAATAT